ACTTTTTACACATCAGAAAGCTGGACAACCACTAGGGAAGCTAGAAGGAAAATTGGTGCCTTTGAGCTGTGGTGCTGGAGAAGAGTACTGAACATACCATGGCTTGCTAGGAGAACAAACAGGTTTACCCAAGAGAGGGTGAAACCAGGCTCCTCCTTGGAGGCAAGAATTCTTAGGCTTTGTTTGACATACTAGGCATGTTGCAAGGAGGGACTAATCCTTGGTGAGGGGTACCATGCTTGGGAGGGTAGAGAGACAGCGCAAGAGAGAAGACTCTGGATGAGAGAGATTGATTCAGTGACCGGGGTAATGGGGGGTAGGTGTGTCAGAGACAACAAGATTGGCACAAGATAGAGCAGGGTTCACAGCTGTTGTACATAGGGTCGCTATGAGTCACAAATCACACATAACAACAACAATAAATAGTAAATGTTGAGAAATGAGGTAGTTCGTAAGTGAGAAACATGCTATATGGAAGGAGCCTAGAAGGTCTCCATAAACGGCCACGGTTATTTACAGTTTACATAATACTGTAATTTGTGGTCTGAGGAATATGATATTACTTTCCTTGTTTCATGCATTTTGGCAACCCATGAGTACCATTTAGGCATTAAAATTGTTTATGCACCTAGGTAAAACTATTCGGTTTTAACAACATCATTTGTTTAAAATTCAAAGCAACCCAAATGTCCATCAAATAATGAACAAAACCAAAACGAGTATATCCATACAATGCAACACCATTCAATCACAAAGAAAAATTGAATTCTGATGCAAGCTACCACATGGATGGGCCCCGAAAACTGTATGCTGAGTGAAGTCAGACACAAAAGGCCAAATAGTATAAAACCCCATTTTCTTGCAATATCTAGAATAGGCAAATGCATAGAGACAGAAAGTTGACTGGTGGTCATCAAGGGCTGAGGGGAAGGGAAAATGGGAAGTTAGTGCTTAAGGAGAACTAAGTTCTTATTTAGGGCAATGAAAAGGTTTAGGAAATAAATAGTAGTGAAGGTTGCACACACACACATACACACACACACACACAAATGGATCTCTTCATACTTGAAACATATATTTTTCATATACACATACACACACAAGTTTTCCTTTTGAAAGAGAAACAAAAATGACATTTGGTTATATGGACAAAGATGGGGAAATAAACCAAAATGATCCTAGAATCATGATTTCCAAACAAAAAATGAAGTGATGGGAAAGTAAGTGATGGCTGAATAGATTAAAAACTGATAGACCAAGAGTTCTTTAACTGATTCATGAGAGGGATGAAGAGAAAGTAAGAAGATAAACTGGTCCAGCAATTTGAATGACTGAATCTGGGTCATTTGTGAGCTACAACAAAAGTGATGTGTTGTTGAATCATTACCAAAATTGGTGAAACATTTTCTTTGACTACACCAGGGTTGCATCCTATCTCCATACCTTTTCAACCTATATGCAGAACAGATTATCCGGGAGGCTGGGCTCTATGAGGAGAAATGTGGGGTCAAGATCGGTGGACGATTTATCAACAACCTGCGTTATGCGGATGACACAACCCTGCTTGCTGAAACTGAAGAGGACCTGAAGCACCTGCTGCAGAGTGTCAAGGACTGCAGCCTACAATATGGATTGAGGCACAATGTCAAGAAGACAAGGATTCTCACCACTGGACCAATTGGCAGCATCAGGATGAATGGTGAAGAGATTGAGATTGTACACAGCTTTAGTTTGCTTGGCTCCACAGTCAACAGTCTTGGCACCAGCAGCCAGGAAATTAAAAGGCACACTGCCATGGGAAAGTCTGCTGTTAGGGACCTCTCCAAAGTACTGAAGAGCAATGGTATCTCTCTGGAGACTAAGGTGCCTCTGATACAGGCCACGGTCTTTGCAATCACTTGTTATGCATCAGAGAGTTGGATAATGACCAAAGAGGATAGAAGGAGAATTGATGCCTTTGAGCTGTGGTGCTGGAGAAGAGTATTGAGAATACCATGGACTGCTAGGAAAACAAACAGATTCGTCCTGGAAAGGGTTAAACTGGGGCCTCCTTGGAGCAGGGATTCTGAGGCTCCGTCTAACATACTTTGGACATGTTGTGAGGAGAGACAGGTCCTTGGAGAAGGACATCATGCTTGGGAGGGTGGAGGGACAGCGCAGGAGAGGAAGGCCCTCTATGAGGTGGATTGATTCAGTGACTGGGATAATTGGGATGGGAGTGTCAGACACAGTGCGATTGGCACAGGACAGAGCAGAGTTTAGGGCTGTTGTACATAGGGTCGCTATGAGTCGCAAGCGACTCAATGGCACATAACAACAACAACAACAACAACGAGTACATTACTCATGGATACTATTATCCTACCTTTGTTCAAGTTACAATAACTTCACTTATCTCTACTTGCTGTCAAGTCAGAACCTACTTACAGGTGACCCTCCATTGGTTTTCCAAGGCTGTAAATCACACAAGGCGCGGCTTCTTTTCTTTCTCCTTTGGACCCGCTGGTGTATTCACACCACCAGAGGTGTGCAGCCTTTGAGCTAGCAGCCAGGTCCTGTGCGCTATGCCCTCTGAGTGCCCTTTACTTTCTTGACTGAGAGATAAAAAGAATGGATGTAGAAAATATTCCATCATTGATTTTTATCTCATAGTGTCCATGTAGAATATAGAGCAAGGTTCAGATCTGTTGTACACAGGTGACTTGATATCACTGTAACAATATAGAACAAATCTATCATATCCCTGACCACAGCTGTTAGAAATTGTTGGTGTTACAATTATTGTAGTGCTGTCCTTTCCCCAAAGACATTTTGGAGTTTTGTCAAAATCTGGAATATGAACAGTAAAAATCATCCATCAGGTGGCTCAAAAAAAGTTGGAAAAAGTTGGAAATTGCTACTCTGTAGAGTAAAAAAACCAAGAAAGCACAGCAGTAAGGTTGAGACGGCACAACTGGAAAGAAATAAGGCTGATACTCACGGCCTCGGGTAACCACACGAATGCACACAAAAGCCCACTGTGGCACATCAGTCCCCTGGTTGAGGGTCTCTCCTTCACCGATCCTTCCCACTTACTAGTATCATGTCCTTCTTCAAAGAATAGCCCTTTCTAGCAACATGCCCCAAATATGTAAGACAAAAATCTCATCATTCTTGCCTCCAAAAAGCACTCTGGGTGTATCCTCTCCAACATGTATCTGTTAGTTTTCCTGGCTGTCCATGGGATGTTCAGTGCTCTTCTCCAACACCATAGCCCAAAGGCATCAATTCTATTTCTGTCCTCCTTGTTCACTGTCCAACTCTCAGATGCATAGCAAAGGATAGGAAAGACTATGACCTGAACCAGATACACCTTAGTCCTCAAAGTGACATCATTACTGATCAATAATTTGGAGAGGTGCCTACCTGCAGACTTTTCCATCTCCTGCTTTCCTGACTACTGGTACCAAGGGTGTTAACTGTGGATCCAAGTAAAATAAAGTTGCTGACAGCTTCAATCTTTTCGCCATCTACCATGATGTTGCCTATTGGTCCAGTGGTAAAAACCTTTGTTTCCTTGACATTGAGATAAAATCCATATTGAAGGCTACATTTCTTGCTCTTCTGCAAAAGTGCTTCAAATTCTCCTCACTTTTAGCAAGGAAGGTTTTACATATTAAGCCCAAGAAAGTACAAGTCCCTTATTACTGCCAAAATGACTCAGAGCTGAACCTGCAGTGGGTTTTCAGATACTGCAAATCTCACAGAATGTTGCCCATCTTTCTCCCATGGAGCCGCTGGGGGATTCAAAGGGCCTGCCTTTGAATTGGCAGGGCAGTTGCCTATCCACCCACTCCCTATTCATTGCCTGGGTAGTGCAAATGGTTAATTAAGTTTATTCAGAGGTGCCTCTTAAGAAAAACTTAGGCGTCTACCACTGAAAACCAGCCATTGATGATCTCTGAGAAGACACACATGGCTTCATCATGACTCATAGGTGACTGGGTGGGAAAGGGCTCAGTTATTCACTTTATCGCTGGGATTAGGGAGGATAAGAAAGACTGCACTGGTGGGGAGTGCCCTGGCTAGAGCAAACAGAGCCAGAGAAGGCAGCGGGGCACAACCCTGCGTAGAAAGTAACCTGTACAGTCACACAAGACTCTAAGAACCTAAACGTCAAGATTCCATTTCGAAGAACCAAATGAAATTCAATGAAAAAGTTTAAATCATACAGAATACAATGTTTCAAGAGCAGTGCTTAAAAACATTATGACTTACTAGTCAAACTAAAAAGGAGAAATATTTTATTTTAACACTTACAGAAAGAAGCAAAAGTTGCCTAGTGGTTTACCAGAGGCTAGAGACAGGACGTTGGCCTCTAGAGTGTTGCTTTTCTTTAACTGTCATTTATCTTTGCCAAGCACCAAAGAGTACATGAACCCTGCTCACTGCCGCCAAGTGGGAATTGATCATATCTGACCTTTCTATGTATTTTCAGAGGCTGTAAATCTCACAGAAGGAGATCGCTCATCTTTCTCATGAAGCTCCTGGTGTGATCAATGGATTCGCACCAAAGTCCCCACAGATGGCAGCATCAGCGCTCTACTGTTTCAGTCTAGGGAGACGGAAAACACTAGGAAATGGACAGTGGTGATGGACAACATCGTAAATGCAATTAATGGTACTGAATCGTGCATGTGAAATGATTATTATCCTCATGCATGTATGCTGTTGTCGTATACCTTAAGTCAAAACTCACTCATAGCTGATCTTTCAGTGGGTTTTCAGAGGCAGAATAATTGATGGGAAATTGTCCATCTTTCTCCTGCAGAGCAGGTGGTAGACTGGAACCATGTGCCTTGGAGTTGACAGTGCAGCTTCTTACCACTAAGCCACCAGAGCTCCCTTAAATATGTATGTGTGTGTGTATACACACACATATGTATATATATGTATATAGAATTATGACGATAATGATAACTTCTAATCACAACCGTTTGGGTTTTTGTAAAGTAGCTGACCTTCTCAGCCATCTCCCTTCGGGAAGAGCCATCCAAGTCCTCATGCATGCGATCCAGCAGCCAGAGGAGGAATTCCAGGGCGTCGTGCTGAGAATTGCCTTGGAACTGGGAGCCATGCTTGGAAACAGCATTCTGCAAGGAAATAAAGAAAACAGGACATTCAGTTTGGTCTTTCAAACAACCAAAGAGCCTACCAGTCAGCCTGTCGTCCTTATTCATCTGAGACCTGGGAGGACAGCAGAGGAAAATGCAGGGTAAGGAACACTCCTTCTAGCTGAAGCCTGAGACAGTGTCCCAAAGTGGCTTTGGATTCAATCTCAAGTCCCGTGATCCCAGCTGTACGACACTAGACATGTGCATGATGGGGTTCACAATGGCTGATTTCTCAGAAGATCACTTTGCCTTTCTTCTGAGGCATCTCTAAGTAAACTTAAACCTCCAATATCTTGCTTAGTAACCAAAGACGGCAGTAGCCATCTGTACTTCCAGGATCTCCCCGCATAAAAGCATCCTCTATTCCAGAACTACTACTAATACATGTATTATATGAGGTGGATTGATTCAGTGATTGGGGTAATCAGGGTGGATGTGTAAGAGACAGTGAGCTTGACAGGGTTTAGGGCTGTTGTACATAGGGTCACTGAGTCACAAGTGACTTGACGGCACATAACAAGAACAAGAACAACAACAACAATATATGTATTACATGTAATCCAGGCACCTGTCCTTTTGAAAGCCCACTGAGGTTTTGATCGAGTGTTTGGATACTGTCCGCTGGCCTACCCTTCCTGGTGTGCGCATCCTTTGTTCTTGGGGCGCCACACTTTCCTGGCCATCCTCCCTACTGACACTCCCCATGCTGGCCGTCTGCCTCACTAGTAAGTGTCTTCAAGCCTTCTTGTCCTCCGTGACTTTATTAACTCTCAAAGCATCTTCTTAATGAACAACTTTCCCTCAACAGTGGGTCTAACAAAATCTACTTCCTTAAACACTACAAACATAGCTCCTTTATTACCTCTTTCTAATATGCACGAAAGGAGCTCTCGTGGCTTAGTGGTAAGGAGTTGTGCTGCCAAGCCAGAAACATGCGGTTTGAGTCCACCAGTTGCTCTGTGAAAGAAAGATGGACAATCTCTTCTCGTGCCATTTGTTGTTGTTATATGCTGTCGAGTTGCCTGCAACCCATAGTGACTCCATGTACAGCAGTTCTGAACCCTGCCCTGTCCTGAGACAATCTCACTAATTCCAACACACCTAAACCCATTTTCCCAGTTACTGTATCAACCCATCTCATCCAGGGTCTTTCTCTTCTTCGCCATCCCTCTACCCTTTAGAGCGTGATGTTCTTCTCCAAGGACCAGTTCCTCCTGGCCACAAAGTGCCAAAGTATGTGAGCCAGAACTCTTCAAAATCCTAACCTTCAAGGAGAAATCTGGTTTCACCTTCTCCAAGATAGACTTATTTGTTTTCTTGGCTGTCCATGGTATGTTCAAGACTCTTCTCCAGCACCATAACTTGAAGACATCAATTCTTCTTCTGTCATCTTTAGTCATTGTCCAGCTTTCTGATGCATAGCAAGTAATGGTGACTATCATGGCCTGGATTAGGTGCACCTTATTCTCTAGATTGACATTGTTGCTTTTCATTACTCTGAAACAATCTCTGACAACAGATTCTACCAGTGCAATTCATCTTTTGATTTCCTGACTGCTAGTGTCAAGAGTGTTGATTGTGGAGCTGAGCAAGCTGTAATTGTTAACAACCTCAATCTCTTCTCCATCTATCGTGGTGCTGCCAATTGGCCCAGGGGTGAAAATCTTTGTTTTCTTGATATTTGGCTTCAATAGATATTGAAGACTCAGTCCTTGACCTTCTGCAGCAAGTGCTTTAGGTCCTCCTCAGTTTCAGCAAGCAAGGTTGTGTCATCTGCATAACATAGGTTGTTGATGAGTCTTCCTCAAATCCTAATGCCACCTTCCTCCTCATAAAGTCCAGCTTCCTAAACGATCTGTTCTGCATATAGATTGAAAAGGTATAGAGACAGGATACATCTGTAACACACTCCTTTCCTGATTTTGAATCATGCAATGTTTACTTGCTCTGTTCTGTGGACTGCTTCCTGGTCCAAGTAAAGGTTTCATATAAGCATAATCAAGTGTCTAGGATTCCTATATTCCTCAAGCTTAGCCACAATTTGTTGTAATCCACACAGTCAAATGCCTTTGCACAGTCAATGAAATACAGATAATCTTCTGGTACTCTCTGCTTTCTGCCAAGGTCCATCTGACATTGGCGATAATGTCTCTAGTATTACGACCTCCTCTAAGCCCAGCTTGTATTTCTGCTAGTTCTCTGTCAGTGTACTCTTCCGGTCATCCCACGCCATTCACTGCCTCTGAAAACCCACTGGAGGGTCAGCAATTAATCAGTTCCAACTTCACAGTATGTAACAACAATAATAATATGCATGAAATTAAGAGCACAATCAAACTTTTCTTTCTGCACTTAGATTATGAATTGATTAGGCCAGCCATCCATTGCTTTAGTATATATTTACAGATGACCTACCACATGTTATAGAAGTCCCTGGGTGGCACAAACCATTAAGTGCTCAACTGACATTTGAAACTCCCCTGAGGCTCTGTGGGAACCAGGCCTGGCAGTTGACTTACAAAGTTCACAGACTTGAAAGCTGTAGGGAGCAGCTGCACTGTGGCCACACGGGGTCGCCAGAGTTAGTATCCATTCCACCACCACTAACAGTGCTGACTGAACAAGTCACACAAGACCCCTTGCCCACATGGAACTCATATTCCCTTTGCTTGTCCTGTTAACCGGTGTAACAACTTTGTCATTGCCTACATAACCTGTTGCTGTTGTTGTTAGGTGCCATCTATCTGACTAGAACTCATAGCAACCTTCTCTGAAGAACAGATCATAACAGATCGGGATCTTTCTGTCCTGCACCCCTCTCACCATCTCCACCCTGCTCAAGTCCACTGTTGTAGTTTTGTGTCAACTTACACAACAAATTATTTTCTTTAAAATGTGTGTATATGCACACCCATGTTTATTGTGGCCTTGTTCACAAAAGGTAAGAGCTGGAAACAACCCAAGTGCCCATCAACAAAAAATGGATAGAGAAGCTCTGGTATATTCACACAATGGAACACTACACTGCATTGAAAAACAAGGAACTCATGCAATATTATTCAAAATGGGTGACCCTGAAGGACATTATGCAGAGTGAAATATCTCAGTCACTAAAGGACAGATACTGCATGGTGCCACTGTTGTAAAGAGGGACTGATATCGGGGTTGGGGTGAAACTAAGAGGGGATAAAAGATGTATACTGTATTGAAACAGATGAGGGAGAGAACTGTATATGAGGAATATATGATTAGGTATTATTGTCATGACAAGAGCCCAGAATGAAAGCTGTATAGTGAAGTGAACTGGGAGAGGGGGTATAACAATGAAATAATTTTTTTTTTAATTTTCAAAGAGAAAAGTGAATGGAGGGGAGGGGTGGGCAGGGAGGAAAATGTACAACAATGAATGAATGGAAATCCAAAGTCTCTGTAAACTTTCATTCAAATAAAAAAAAGGAAAAAATTTCTTTTCATTAAATAAAATAATTAAATCTCTAAAAAAATGTGTGTATGCTACCCTATGAAATAAAATTTTTTAAAAGCTAGAATATATATTTATACTGTATTATTACTCTGATATTACATAAATGTACAGGTTGATTTTTTAAAAATTTGAAATGGTAACATACTTACACTTTTTAAAACGATCAGTAAAAAAGAAAAACAATGAAGTCTTATTCCTATCAGGTTCTACCTCTTAGAGCCTATTTCCTGAAAGCAGCTACTTTCACAGTTTCTGTAACCTCTTTCTAGGGATTATTTCAATGCAAGGAAGAACCTGAGTTATTATGAATTGAACTGTGTCCACCTAAAACATCCAGCAGAATCCTAACTCCTACAGCTATGAATAGGGAGCTGTGGTGGACTAGTGATAAGGAGTCACGCTGCCAACCCAGTGACAAGCGGTTCCCATCCGTCTGCTGCTCCAAAGAGAATGACAGGCAAGCTCCTCCCATGTGATTTTTTTTTTCTTTAGAACATTATTATTTCATAAAAGACAATGATAAAAAAGGAAAAAACATTTCCATGAGAAGCAAAACCCTCCCATGCCTCTGAAAACCAGCTGGAGGGGCAGCTAAGAGTTGGTCCTGAGCTGATGGTACACAATGACAACACAGCTCTGAATGTGATGCAATGCACCATAGCTGCAGTCACCTCAGTCCCAACTAGTGCACACAGGCAGGACACAATGCCCAATCCTGTGCCATTCGCACAGTCAGCTGTAGGTCAGGGTGTTTCTTTGTGTGCCCACATGATTATTGACTGGCCAGGTTTTGTTAAGCACCAAAATGTATCAACCAATAATAAATAGTACCAAATGGCATTGGATAGTATCAAAGAGTACCAATTAGTATCAACAAGTACCAAATAATATCAACCAGTACCAAATAGTATCAACAAGTACCAATTAGTATCAATCAATCTCAAATTGTACCAAAGAGCATTAGATAGTATCAACCAGTATTATAGTATCAAATAGCAGTAAGCACCAAATACTGCCAACGAGTACCAAATAGTATCAATGAGTACCAAATAGTATGAACGAGTACCAAATAGCATCAACCAGTCTCAAATAGTACCAAATAGTAAACCGAGCTCAAGCTCAGCCCTAGTTTGAAGGAATCTATCAGAAAAGGCCAAGGATCAGAATGATTTTCCTGGCTGCCAGCAAGCCAAATACACAGGGCTCTCTCTTTTCTCTCTCTTTCTTCTCCCCTTCACTTGTTTCTTTTTTCCCTTTTCTTTCATATAAATATATATGGAAAATATATACACACATCTCATAACTGGGCCAACTGGCAGTACCATGATAGACAGGGAAGAAACTGAGGTTGTTAATAATTTTGGCACTGGCAGTCAAAAAAGCAAAAGATGAATTGCCTAGGGAAGGCTGCTGTTAGGAATCTCTCAAAAGTGCTGAAGAGCAACGATGTCAGTTTGGAAACGAAGGTATGCCTGATTTAGGCCATGGTCTTCAC